AATAAAGGAAGTCCATCAGCTCACCATGTGTGTGTCCCAGCTGCCCCATCTTCCCCAGCACATACCTGTTCCCCTTTTCCTGCTCATTTTCCCCTCCCCTTTCCTCACCACCTCTTCCCTTTACATGCTGTCCATGGCCCCCAGCCCATGTGTTTCAAAGGCGATAGCCTTTGCAGGGACCTGTTTGTCCCAACTGTTTGAACAGTGTGCTCCTCAGATTCTGTGTTCAGAAGGATTTGCTGCATTGAGACTTGAAACCTTTGGATAGGGGAAAAAATTATATATATATATATTTTTTTGTTCTGTTTGCATTTCTTAATTTGTGCTTGGAATGTGTTGATGTGCACAGCTAATGATTCAATGCGAGACAAGATTGGCGTCTGTGTTGTGGAGGTTTCAAATAAAGAGCACTCTTCATAACTCACTTTTCACAAATGGAGTTTTTTTCAAATTTTTAAAATGAAACAACCAAAAAAACCTAAAGCACGTACTAGACACCTCCATCTCCCTACTAATTACCCACCTCTATTACTAGTACAGCTTCCTCCTTCAAAGTTAGTTTCCCCATAGTCAGGAGAGATTGGCAGCCACCAGGAATTATTAGGAGAAGGTCTGTTTTTAGAACAAGATCTGCACTTGGGTATGGTGGTGATGGTAGAGATTGCAGTCAGTGACAAATCTTCACTTCGTTCAAAGGATCAAACCATAGTAGACTGCATAAAATTCAACCCACCCAAAGGGTATATTTTCTGAGTCTGGGGCTCAGTTTAAATTTTTGATTTATTTTACTAATATTCTAGTTCATTCCTAATAAAATTTTAAAAGCAAAAGATTTAGGCCCCTAAAAGACCATTCTTGTACCTGTTTTGTCTCACTCTTGTCATCTGTCTGCCAGTCTGTTCACAGATCACCTAATAGTCTGTTGTCATTTTTATTCCATCCAGCACTTGCAGCTAATCTGAGGATTTTGATGGTTCCCACTTTCAACAAAAAATAATTTAATAAAAGTTTAGTTAGAAAAATGGTCCCAAGTGGTGCTTGCTTTGTGTGGTTTTTCTCATTCACTGAAGTGCTACACCTTAAGATTTTTCTCTGTCATCTTATCCCAGAGTGTAAGTGTAGGAAAGCAGGGAGGTGTCCTTAACCTGATCCTTCTGGCCCTAAGGCAAATGACTGCCAGGTGCTTTCCTCCTGTGTTGACTCCTGCACCTGACCCCAGGCCTGATGACGAAGATAGGTAAACCACCCCGTCCCTGTTAATGCATTTCTAGACAGGATGGAGATGACCATGTTTGTGACATGCATTATAGAAAGGAGTCTCTAGGTATAAATAATGGAAGTACCTGATAGCCTGCAGGGTCAGGAAATTTTTTCTCTTCAAAATCTCTTGTTCCTAGCTGGGTGTGTTGGTGCACACCCGTAAACCTAGCGTTCAGGAGGATGAGGCAGGAGGATTACTGTGAAATTAAGGCCAGCTTCAGCTACCTCGTTCAAGCCTAGCCTTCACTACATAGACCATGTCTCAAATTCATGTTCCTTGAAATTTTCTAGGTAATAAATAGGAGTTTCGTGCAAAAATTCAAAAACACCTGCAGTCTTATGCATAAATGAGGTTGTGTAGGATTTGAGATTAAGGAGAGAACTCTCTGCGTCAAGGCAATCGGATCTCAGCTGATAGCCTAGTTTGAGTAAAGGGGGGTGGCCTGAGATCAGGAGTCCGGCAAGGCTTTAGAATGGAAAGAAGAGCAGAATTTAGGACCAGGCATGTAGCTCAGTGGATAGAGCGTTTGCCAACCACTTGCTAGGCTCTGGGTTCAATCTCCAGCTACTACCAAAAGAAGGTTCTTAACAAAGTGGAATAAAGCTCATAACAATTTGCCTCTTGAGACACACATGGTGTGAAAGTATGTCAACATCAAACATAATTTAGCATTTTCTAACATTTAGTAGCCTTTCTTAGTAACTTTTAAAGGAAAACATTTCCCCTTTTTCAGTGCTGGCATGGAATTCAAGGCCTCACATGTGCTGGTTAAGTATTGTACCACTGAGCTACATCCCCAGGCTAAAATACTACCTTAATATAGGTTCAGACCACTAGCCATACTTAACTTGAAAATAGTTCAATAGAAACTGCTAAACAAAGTAAATAAAAAACTACTGGAATTTAAAAACTACCAGCAAGGTTATAATGAACAAACTGTTCATCCTTTGAAATTTATTGTCCAATGGAAGTATAAATAAACTGTAGTACTAGCGATGTCCTATACAGCAGTAAAAAGTGGCAGTTGTATGTAACATGCACAATCTCAAGCAAAATTTTTCAAGAATTAAATATAGTGTGATACCTGTTTAAAAGTTGCCAGATGAAGTAGCAGGAGTGCAAGACTAGTCTATGCAACATACGAAAACCGGTCTCCAAAAGTTGAAAAGTAAAACACGTATGTATTAAGAATATGCAAACCCTTGTTAGGAGAATTACAAAATCCTACATGGTGTTCGAGATGAGCTATGAGGCGATGGGGTAAATAAGCATGCATCTGGGAATCCATATGGCACAGAAGACTTAATTGCTAACGTCTCTGTTGAGTTTTTGTTTTAGTTTTCTGAGGCAGGGTCTCACTATAGTCCAGGCTGGCCTTGAGCTCACTAGCCCACGCTGGCTTCAAACCTGCAGCAACCCTCCTGCTGCAACCTGTCAAGTGCTGGGATTGCAGGTGTGCACGCCATGCCCAGCCGTTGCTAACATTTTGCAGTATTTCTTTGGATGGTGTTTGGCACATCGGTATTTCTTTATAATACTATCTACTGTGGTACTTTGTAATGACTACAATGCTTCGCAATACCTTTTTTAAAAACGGTTATTTCTAGGTATCTTCCCCAAAAAGCGAAAGGTATCAGGCTACAGTGATACAGCTATACATAATGGACTATTACTTGGTTATAAAGAAGGACGAGTTCGAGCCATTTGTATGAAAGTGGATGCACCTGGCAAATATGTTGAGTGAAGAAAATCAGACACACAAGCTTAAATACCTATCTCATTTGAATAAGGAGGTGTAAAATTGCATAATAAAGAATGGACAGAAGGAGATAAGAGGATGGGTCTTTTGCAAATGGGAAAGGCTCCAAGAGACAAGGCAAAGAGAGGAATAGGAAGGAGAAATAAGAATAAAGATATGTACAGGAACCTAGTAACCTTAATGGATGTAAGTAAACATGTCAAACATGAGCCAAGTTTAATATCAATAAGAATGAAAAGGAGGGAAGGAGATTTTTTAAAAAACAAGCTGTATTTTGTGCATATATCTGCTTCCCAAGATGATGGTAAACTGCATGTAATATGAACATGTACTACTAATAAAAGACAGCTCAAGCTGGTATCAAAAGTTGCAGGCTCTGAGTAGCTGGGACCACAGGCATACAGCACCATATCCAGCCTCCCATTTTGTGAGATATCGAATTTATTAAATTTCACAACACAGAGGCTGAAATATTGCTCAGTGGTAGATCACTTGCCTACCATTTGTGCAGTCCTCAGCTCAATCCCTAGCATCACACGCACAAAGAAACTTTCACAGGGTCTTTAAGGTAGGTGCCAGGTGAGATGTTAGTCCTATATTGTAGATGAGGAAATCAAGACTCACAAAAACATTTTTAAGCACTGTCAAATAATTAAGTGATTATAATTACAGAGCAATTTCATTTCTGCCACTAGCACAGTAATAGGCTTAATTCCTCGTAAAGGCTAATTAATAGCTGTTTGCACAATATGATTAAACATGCCTTTCTTGCCCCCTAAAAATTCCCTCCTCTGTGCATTATAGTTACCACTATCTACTTATTAAAACAATCCCTTTAACTGGGCATAGTGGTGCACACTTGTAGTCCCAGCACTCTTGGAGGCTGAAGCAGGAGGATCACAAGTTCAAGCCCAGCCTGAATTTAGTAATTTAGCAAGAATTTCCTTGCCTCAAAATTAAAAATAAAACTGGGTGTGGTAGTGCACACCTGTAATCCCAGCACTGGGAAGCTGAAGCAAGAGGATTGCAAATTCCAGTCCAGCCTGGGCAATTTAGGGACTTAGTAAGACCCTGTCTGCAAAAAAATGGGCCGGGAATATAGCTCAGTGCTCAGGCCCTGAGTTCAATCCCCAGAAATAGACAAAGAAAAAGAAAAAAGAAAAAGAGAAAGAGCAAGCTAGAAAGCTAGCTCAGTGTGAAGGCCTGGAGTTCAGTCCTCAGTACTGCCGAAAAAAAGTCATCTCTTTCAAGTAGAGTACCATATAATATATCACATTAAGTTAGACCATTTTAAGAATAAAAGGGTGTTATTACACTGAGGGTGTAGCTCAGAGCACTTGCCTAGCATGCACAAGGCCCTGGGTTTCATTCCTAGCACTACAAAAAATTATCATTATGCGGGGCAATAGATATCAACAAACCAGATAAACTTGGATGTATGGGGCTACTCTGTACTTGGAGGAATATCTGGGAAAACATCATCACTCATCATAAATATTAAAAATAAAAACTCTATTAGTATTGGGAGGGGGAAAACTAGCAGTCTAATCTGCACTTCACACTAAATAAATTTCAAATGGATGAGTCAAGAGTGTGAACTTATTTTTTAAGTACAAAATGAAAATAGAGACAAATAACTGATCGGGGATATAGAAAATTTTGCTAAGGCTAAAAACTGCAGAAGACATCATATAATGGAAAACAACAATATAGTCAGCTACTAAAACATTAGAGATGGCATGAATAGATTTAAAAGGTAACAGCAATCTAGGAAAAAATACATCTCTAGCGGAATGGTTAGTTCTTCATAAACATATGTGTGTGTTTCACTTACAAATCACTAAGAAACTTCCCTAAAGAGAAACACACAAGGATATGAAGAGACAATTTACAAAAGAAGAAATACAAATGAGCAATAAGCATATAAAGATGCTTGCCTTGTACACTGATTAGCTTTCCTGTCACTAGTACTAAGTACCTGACATCTAAAACTTAAGGAAAATGGGTTGATTTTTGTCTTATGGTTTCAGAGGTTTCAGTCCACGTGTAGTTGACTTGAAGGCATAAATGGCATTGTGGAAGGGCTCAGGGGAGGCAAGCTGCTCAACCCACAGCATCGAGGAAGCAGAGCACAGGGGAAAAGCACCAGTGACATTTACCCCCCAAAAGCACACCCCCAGTGACCCACATCCAACTGAATCCCACTTGTATAACAGCACATTCAGCTATGAACATCAGTGAATTAATCCACATGAGTATAGTGCTCCATGACCCAGTCACCTTGCTAGAAGTCTCTTAACCCAGTCAAATGGACAAGCGGTTACATCATGCCTTCAATTATTATCACCTCTGTAATAATCAAAGATCATTGCATGCTCAATGAAAACCACTTACCAAACTGAAATTCTGTGTGTTTGTGTGAGAAACTGACACTACTTTCATTTGCTTTATGATGCTAGGGGTGGAACTGAGGGTCTCAACATGCTAGGCACATGCTGTACCACCGAGCTACACCCCCAGCCTGGGACTACCCTTCTGATGTGTAGTCTTGTAATACCAGTGCAGGAAAAGAATAGCAGCTCTTGACTCCTGGTAGTTGTCACCACACATGCAGATGTCCTCCTACTGAATAGGAACAATTTTACAGGGATGTCAACATCAGACAGGGTCACTCTGTGAGCAAGATGGATCAAGACAAAATTGAGACCACTCCATAACAACGTCCGAACACATACAGAAACACTGTCCAAACCACAAAAAATAATCAAACATCCCCTGTCCTGACAAATGTGAGTGGCTGGTACTTACTTTACCAATTGCACCTTTAGCATCTCTATAGATTGCACTCTATGCCCAATCATAAAATTAAATCCACTTCTGGCTAGGAGTCAATTACAGCAAAACCATTTCCTTAAATCCTCTCCCAAAACACCCAACACAAACCCAAATCCTCATACATGTTTTGTAACACCCACTTCCTGAGATGTCCACATGGTTCTCCATGGTATGCATTCCTTCCCACTGCAAAGAGTAACAAATCCAACTTGTTCAACTCAGGGAATCTTCACATTCCTGGTCTGGCTGCAGGACAATGACACTATGAACACCCTTAACATGCACATAGTCAGGTACCAAGAGCTGAAATGTTTTGACTGGCAGACATAGTGTGTGTGTGTGTGTGTGTGTGTGTGTGTGTGTGTGTGTGTAAGAATATGAATGGTCTGAAGTGGGACATATTTTCTCTAGATCCAGTCCCCACCACTTCCTGTTATGGCTTGTACCCTCCTGGTTTGTTCACCATTCATTGAACAAGCACTTATCTGTGTACCTACTACGTGCCAGGCTGGGGCTAGAGGAGTGAATACATCAGACATAAATTTCTGTTACCAAGAAGCCACCAATATAATGCGCAAGGCAGACAACAAAGTATGTCAAGGAATGATGTATTTTCTTCTCCAAAGAAAAATAAAACAAAGTGAAAAGATCATTGAGGGGGAAGGCTATTTTAGCTGGTGTGGCCAGAAGACCTCTCCAAGAAGGCGATATTTGAGCATAGAAGACCTGCTTGGGAAAAAAGAAGACTGTAAGTCACTGGCAGGTCTCAAGGAAAAGCATTCCAGGCATAGGAAGCGCCATCTGAGATCTCTCCAGATGCTGTGGAGACTGGGTCAGAGGGGCAGGCATGGAGGCAGGAAAAGCCTTATGAGGCTGCTGTTGCCTTCTTCTAGGCAGGCCAGGAGTAACCTGTCAAAACTCTCGACAGAGTCCCTAATATGACATAAGGGTATTGTTAAAGGGATAGGAAACTGGGAATCTGGGGTGAGCCAGAGACTCCTTCTTGCTGCCTGAAAGATTTTTGTCTTCTTATTATTGTGTTTTTATTGCATATTTTTCAGTGTGGGGCTGCATATCTACTATTGAAAATCACCTTGCTTCAGTGGACACAGCTTTGCTCCCCACTTTGGTTTTTTTTTGGCGGGGGGTTTTTTTTTCGGGTACTGGGAATCAAACTCACAACCTTGCGCTTGCCAGGCAGGCGCTGTGCCGCTGAGCTAAATCCCCAGCCCTGCTCCCCACTTTGTAGATGTAATCCTCAGGAACTGGAAGCAACCAGTCCAGTTGTACAAGTGCATGGTAGTCAGGCCTTCCCCTATGCATCCTCCTGATTTTCAGGGCTTCCTCAGTTGTAGTGCAAAAAGTCCTGCTTCCCAAATCACTGGTTGGTCCCAGGTCTTGGACAGTCACCTTTCAAGAGTAAGGCAACCATACTGATATCTTCAAAGTGGCTTCTCATGAAAACAGATATAGACATGCAATACTGGTCAACCAAAGACTTATTGACAGTTTCTTTCAGCATAGAAATAGAACCATTGTTAATTCCCTACCACTTTGTTTGTAACTCTGAATTATCTGTACTGTGCTTGTGATATGTTGTAAAATGTTGTATGTCTGTTAATGTTTCCCTCCTTTTATCTTTAAAATAAAAAATTTTAAAAAAAGATAAAAAAAAAAAATTAAAAAAAAAAAAAAAAAAAAAAAAAAAAAAGAGTAAGGCAACCAGTGCAGCTGGGAGCAAAGGTCAGGGTGTAGCCACTTCTCAGGGCACAGGAGGCCTCCAGCCAAAAACTCAGCATGACCTTGTCCCAGGTGAGATCTGCCTTGCAAACTGAGAGCTATACACAGTCACCCAGGCGACACCCATAGCAGCTCAGCCCAAGGCGCTCCAACTCTTGGAACTTAAGGGTGTGTGGCTACTTGTGTGACTAGATGTTAGCTGGTGTCTGGATGTCCCCCCAAAGCCTCGTGCAGTCATGGGGCAGGCTTCTAGAGATTATGATCGATCCATGGTCTAATTCTGGGATTATGGGTGTGAGTGCTATACCAGCCGTGGGGCAGGTAGCTTGCATACAATATAAGGGAGGGAAAGAGGCTTGCTCTCCCTGCTGCTGCTCCTCCCTTTTGCTCTTGTTGCTTTTGCTGTTTTCTGCCGCCATGAACTGTTGTTGTCCCTGCCATGTGCCACTCTGCCTTGGAGCCAGCCAAGTATGGACTGAAACCTCCACAGACTGTGAGCTAAATAGACCTTTCCTTCCTTAGTTCTGGGTGTCAGGTATTTTGTCCCAACAATGAGAGAAAAGTAACAGAGACACCAGATAACTTGAATAACGAAGGATTCTTACTGTCTGGGAGGTTGTGTGTAGGTTTAACTGCAAGTAATTGTGTAGGATTGGGTGTGACTGTGTACCTGGCTATTGTGTGCAACCGAATTGGCTTGCATGAACATGGCAGGTGATGTTGTGTGGTTGTGGTTCTAGGAGTGTCCTGGATCTGGTGTCTTGAATCATTGTGGTTGTGTTACCAAATAACTATCATGAGAGTTGGCATTAGAGGGTGTGTCTGTTTCTGGGACAAGAGTGTGTCTGTCTTTGTGTGTGTGCACGCACACATTTGCCTGGGATTGTTTAGATATTTGGAACTGGCTTTCCTGTGTCCAAAATTGTCCCTGTGTCCTGAGGACTCTCTAGGCTTATCTGTGACTCTTTTTAGTGATGAGGCCAGTGGGTCCTGGAATCAGATTGGCCTGGGTGCAAATCTTAGCTCTGCCAATTTTGGCCACATAGCCTCAGACAAGGTCTCTGTTCCTCAGTTTTCTCATCTGCAAAACACAAATCCTAATTATTTCTGTCTAGTAGAGCATAAAATTAGGTAATACTTACCTAGTGCTCAGCACAGTGCCTGATGGTATACAGGAAGCACTGGGTAAACATTAACTTATATTAACACATGGCTGTGCCTGCAGGAGGGTGCACTTGTAATTCTGCCTTTCAAGATCATGCATCTTTGTGTGGCTCTTGTGGATTTCATTAGTTAATACATATTAATTGAACACCTTTTAGATACCAGGCACTAAAAAAAAAAAAAAAAAAAATAGATACCAGGCACTACACAAGACAGTTATAGAAAAAAAAAGTCACAACATTTGGATCAACTACTATCTTCAGGATCTGGCCACAGTGACTACCTTTAACACTGGAGATGTACTTGATGAACAAAATGATATACAGGAATGTCTTGCAGGGAAGTGCAAAATGTTTTTCAGGAAATAGTTGGAGATGACTTAAATCAATGGGTAACTAGTTACACTCATTACAGTCCTTCCTCATCGTGCCCTTTAGACTACTTGCTTTCAGTAATCTCTCACCCTCCTATTTCTTGACTCTTCTGTCCCATTGATCTATGTATCATTCTTGATGCCAATACCACACTGTTTTGATTACCATAGCTTTATAATAAGCCTTGAAATGAGGTAGTATTAGGCCCTCCAACTTTGTTCTTCTCTGAAACATAGTTTTGGCTGCTCTAGATACTCTGCATTCCATATGAATTTTGAAATAAGTTTATAAATTTTACACCCCTTCTGGTATTTTAATTGTGATTTCATTGAATTTATAGATCAATCTGAGGAGAACTGACTTTGCAATAATATTGAGTTTTCCATTCTGTTGACCTGGCACATCTTTCCATTTATTTAAGTCTTCTTTCACTTCTGTCATCAATATTTGGTCAGGCTCAAGAACCTGCAAGCCTTTTACCAAATATTTCCCTAATTATTTCATATTTTTGTGGTATAGCAAATGGCATTGCACTTTATTTCTGATTTCTATTTGTTGATAGTGCATAGAAATACAATTGATTTTTTGTATTAAACATGTATTTCTGCAACCTAACTAAACTTATTTATTAGTTCCTGTAACTTTTTATTTGTAAATTCCATGGGATTTTCTACACAGATCGTGTCGTGTGACAATAATGAGTTTGTACATTTCTTTGCAATCAGTCTGCCTCTTATGTCTTTTTCTGGCCTGGCTAGAATCTGTACTACATTCTTAAACAGAAATTGTGAGAACAGGTAAACTTGCCTTTTTCCTGATCTTAGAGTGAAAATACTTTTACCCTTAAGAATGAAGTGCCAGGAGATAACTTAGTGGCACAGCACGTGCCTGGCAAACGCAAGGTCCTGAGTTTGATTCCTGGTACCAAAAAAAAAAAAAAAAAAAAAAAGAATGAAGACAGCTGTAGCTTTTACATAAGTGTTGCTTTACAAGTTTAGGGAAGTTCCTTCTATTCCTAATTTTTTTTTCATGACAGGATCTTGCTATGTAATTCAGGCTGGCCTTGGTCTCACTATGTAGCCCAGCCTGGCCTCAGACTCTTGGTGATCCTCTTGTTTCAGCCTCCTGAGTCCTGGAATTACAGGCATGCACTACCACACCTAGCCTAATTTTCTAAGAGTTTGGTTTTCTTCAGTGAGGAATGAGGTTACATGTTTGCTTCAGCAGCACATATGCTAAAAATATGAATGATGTTAGGTTTTATCAACTACTTTAGTGGCTTAAATGGAGGTAATCTTATGGTTTTCCTAATCAGTTCATTAATATGGTGAGTTATAATGATTGATTTTCAAGTGTTAACCAATCTTGTATTCCTAGAATAAGCTCTACTTGATCATGAGGAATTGTCCTTTTTATATATTAGATTAGATTAGATTAGATTTGCCCAAATTTTGTTAAAAATTTGAATGTCTATGTTTATGAGAGATATTTGGTCTATCGTTTTCTTGTAATGTTTTGGTTTTGATATCAGGATCAGAGTAATGTTGAACTCATAGAAGATGTTGTGGAAACATTCCCTCTGTGGTAGGCAGAATTGTAAGACAGTCATCAAGAACCCCAGCCCCTGCTGTACACCTTGTCCTAGTTATTTAATTAAATATAAGTTTAGCTAATGTTGACCTTCAGGTAGGACTAGTCAGGTGTGTCTGACCCAATCCTCTGAGCCCTTTAAATCTGGCTGTAGAAGTCAGAGAAAAGAAGGATAAAATGTATGACGTGCAATTAAAAAATATGTTGTGCATTTAAATTTTTAAAATTTATTACAGTAAAAGACGCATTACCTTTAATTCCCTCAAAATACTCCCCCTCAATTTGAAAACCTTTATGCCACCATTCTTGCCACTTTCTGAAGCAGTTCTGAAAGTCCTCTTTTATGAATATCTTAAGTTATGCTATCACAGCAGCCTTGATGTCCCAAGTCCATTCAAAACATTTATCCTTCATGGTCATTTTGCCTTTGAGGAAGAGGCAGAAGTTGCACAGTATTAGATCTGGTGACTAAGGTGTAAGAGAACCCACCATAATATTTTTATGACCCTGCCTTTTTGTTGCACAACACTTGTCAACAGCATTTACCATATTTTTTATCACACCTTATAAATACACTAATGAAAGAGAATGTCTAGAACTGCTTCAGAAAGTGATGAGGATGATGGGATAAGTGTGTTCAAAGTGAGGAGGATTAATGGCATTATGTCTTTCACTGTAATAAATTTTTCAAAAAAAACTTTTAATGTTCATCTTACTTTTTGATTATCCTTGTTTGACACACTGTCCTGCATTGAAGACAGAGGAAACCACATGGAAGAGGATGTGGGTGAGCTCTAAGAAGTGAGAACAGGGCCTGGGGATTTAGCTCAGCCGCACAGCGCCTGCCTGGCAAGCGCGAGGTTGTGAGTTTGATTGCCGGTACCGGAAAAAAAAAAAAAAAGAAAGAAATTAGTAGAAGTGAGAACATCCCTGGCCAACAGCCATCAAGAAAACGGGGACTCAGTCCTGTAACTGCAAAGAACTGAATTTTGCAAAAATGAACTAGGAGGCATACTTTTCTCCAAGCCTGCAGACAAGAACTCAGCCTGACCAGCACCTTGATTTTAGCATTGTGATACCATGAACAGAGAACACAACGTTGTTCTGGACTTTGATCCACAGAAACTGAGAAAATAACTGGACAGTTTTTCTTTTTTAATTTTAAAGAAAAGGAAAATAAACAATAAAAGCAACGGTATAAAATTTCAAAACAAAGTGGTAGGAGAGTAACAATGGTTAGTACACTGCATATTGTCATCTTCAAACTAGTTGTACTGCTTCCCTTTCAGTTTTATTAAAGAGTTTGAGGAGTAGTGCTACTAAATCTTCTCTAAATTTCTTGTAGAATTCAGCAGTGAATCCATCAGGACCTGGGCTTTTCTTTGTTTTAAAATTTTTAATTACATTTTAAATTTTATTGACTGATATTGGTTTATTCAGAATATTTATGTCTTCTTGATTCACCTTTGGTAATTTGGACGTATCTAGGAATCTGTCCATTTGTTCTGTGTTTTTCATCCCATGAGAATAAAGATTTTCAAAGTAAGTATTGATGATTTTCTGAATTTCTACAGGATCCTTTTCATTCCTCATTTCATGAATTTGAGTCCTTTCTTTCCTTTCTTTGATAATATTGGCTAAGGGTTTATCAATTTTATTTATTCTTTCAAAGAACCAACTCTTTGATGCATTAATTCTTTGTATTGGTTTTGTAGTCTCAACTGTGTTAATTTCTGCTCTGATCTTTATAATTTCCTCCCTTGTGTGGGTTTTGGGCTTGTTTTGGTCTTCTTTGTCTAGAACCTTGAGGCATTAGGTTGCTTATTTGTGCTCCTTCTGTTTTCCCAGTGTTAGAATTCACCCCTCTAAATTTCCCTCTTAGGACTGTTTTCATTGTGTCCCACAGGTTTTGCTATGTTGTATCTGCATCTTCATTTAATTGTAGGTGTTGTTTAATGTCTTCTTTAATTTCATGTGTGATGCAGTGGTTGTTCAGGAGGGTGTTATTTAATTTCCATGTGTTTATGGAGCTTTTGCAGTTTCTTTTACCATTAATTTCTAATTTCATTGCACTACAGTTGGATAGTATGCATGAGATAATTTTAATTCCTTTGCATTTACTTAAGTATGTTCTGTGGGCTAATGTATGGTCTGTTTTAGAGAATGTCCCATGTGTAGCTGAGAAGACTGTGTATTCTGAATTTGTTGGGTGGAACATTCTGTAAACATGAACTAAGTCCATTTGTTCACAGGTTTGGTTCAGTTCTGGTATTTCCTGATTTTTTGTCTCGCCGATCTATTTGTGATAGTGTGGTATTAGGATCCCCCATTAGAGTAGTGTTATTGTTCATTTGATTTTTCATGTCTATTAATATTTGTCTGATATAGTTCAGTGCTTCCATATTTGGTGCATAGATATTTATGATTGTTATTTCCTCCTCTGGAAGTTTTCCCCTAACAAGTATGTAACGACCTTCTTTATCTCTTTTGATCATTCTTGGTTTGAAATTCACTTTGTCTGCAAACAGAATAGCTACCCCTGCTTTTTTCTGGGTTCCTGTCACATGGAGTATTGTTTTCCATGCTTTGACTTTCATTCTATGAATTTTGTACCTTTAACCATAGGAGCAAATCTGCAATTATACTGCAGAACAGATCATAAATTGGGAGCTTGTATGCAAAGTGTTTCCCCTTGGTGGAGTGGCTTTACCCTGTGGTGGGGAAACTTAAGAAAGATAGTCAATAAAACAAAGATAATTGAAAAGGAAGTAGAAGCCAGGCTGGAGGACAAAGGATGATCACACAAGCTTTGAGAAACAGAGAAGAGGGGAGAAGAGAAAGAATGAAGGAGTAACCAAGGGATTCTCTGAACTTGGTCTCTGTGTTTGGGAAGGGGATTATATTTCTGTGGCTGGAGTTCTCCCCAGTCATTTAGAAAAGAGAGGAAAAAAAGATAAGAAAAAAGAAAAGAAAACAGAAAAAGAGAAAAAAGGAAGCCCCACCTACCTGCTTCTATTCTGTGTGTCTTTGTTCCCAAGCACAAGGCTGGTTTACCTAAATTACCACCTGTTCACTGATACTGTCACTGTTGCTTCTGACAGTTTCACACAGCTAGTCTCATCTGTCCGTCCTGTGCACACTGGCTGAGGGCCCTACTGTGTGGCTGGTGTTCCTGCAGGTCTCTCTGTCTTCTCACACAGTTCA